AGGCGTACAGGCATTAAATGATCATATTGTAATAATCAAATTATTGAAATTATTGATAATAAAGATGTCAGTATAATGATAACTGGATAGTAAATTTTCGTTTTTTATAAGTATATTAAATTACAAATTTTATTAAAAAAAATTTCCGGCATTTGTAAAATATTCCGGAAATCTGCTGCGCCATAACCGAAAAATTTCCGGGATTAAAAAAATTTACCGGTTTTATTAGATATTAACCGGAAAAACCGGGTAAATTAGAATAGATTTTTTACGCTGTAGCTATTACTTTGATTAATTTTAATCTTTACAAATATTAATTAAATTTAAATTATTTTAATTTTAAATCTATTTGAATTTAATATTATTTTTCAAATTTTATCTTTTACTATTTACGAAATTTTAGGTTTTATTTAGCGGTCTTAATATATTACCATACAAAAAATTATTTTCCACTTTTTTATTAGTTTATAATTACAAAGTAATTCACTCAAGAGCCACAAGCGGACATTTAATTTGGGTGGTGTAATAGATTACTTTTTAATACTAATAAATTTATCGAGAATAATTAAAAGTTATGCAATAAGTTAGTAAATATAAATAGTTAAAAATTTTTGTAGTATGATAAAATCATGATAATGATGTAATGATTTTCATAAGACTGGTATTTAACACATGCGTAAACATTTTTTTTTCAATAGTGATTATTTTAAGAAAAAACCTTTGTAAAGAAACTGCTGATGTTTTGCTGATTTACAGATTCAAACTTATAATAAATTTACCTTGACTCAAACGATGAATGGAACGCACAATCAAAATCTACTTTATCTGGAATCCCTTTGCCAAGGTTAAATAACCTTCCCTTTTTTGCTCACTAGCAATACGCGTGTTGCTCAAAATTTGGTTCCATTTCTTTGTATCGTCGGTGGACAGAATTATATTCCCCCAAGTCTCAAGAACAACGCTCAAAGGCCGAGAAGCTATTAGACAATGCTTTTCCAACCTTCTCCGAGACTTTATCTCCACGTACCAACGGGTCAAATGGTTTACCAAACAACCCTTTGGGTATAAAAATACAATCGCCGACTGAATCTTCCATGTATTGTAAATGGCTTTTGGAGAATTCAACCTCGCCTTATGCTCAATTGTTTGCATCGGCAAGGTTAAAAAGTCTGGTCTTGGATCATTATTCTATGTTCACAGCGAAACATAAATTAGAACTGAGTATGGGTTTGCTCAATAAAAAATTTCTTCTTTTTTATCCCTTGTTATTTAATGCTTTTTCGTATAATTTGTTTTATAAAGCAAATAAAAGCGTGATTTCACAAACTATTTGTTCATTTCATTTTCTGTTACTCTTTTTTTTTCTTTCTATGAATTACAAATAATAATAATAAATTTCAAACAATTAAAAGGAAGTTTTTTATTCAATTATTTGGCTTTACATCCTGATTATCAGCCATTTGTCTTGTCTTCGCTTGCACAACTGTTTGCAACTATAACAAAAGTTGGATGGTTTGAAGACGATGAATTCAAAAATATAACAAATGACGTATCTAATTTCATACAGGTAATTCTGTTACTGTTTGATTTACAATATCCCGCTAATCTCAATAGTTCGTCTTTTGATCATTAAAGTGTGAGAATTATCAGGAATAAATTACGCATAATTATCTGTGATTATATATGTAGTCTACTGTGGACCATAGAATTGTAGGTTTGCAAGTATTATCTACCATCGTTGCCGAGATGAATCAGCAATCTCCACGAAATTTGGCGAGGCAAAGAAAAACAGGTTAATTTATTAAAATTTATTTATACTTTTCATACCTTTGATTTTATTATTTATTCACATATCATCATCATATATTTATTTATTTAATTAAAAAAGCTATTGGATTTAGAGATTCTGAATTACTAGACATTTTCCGGCTGGGTTTTGTTGTTCTACGTCAAATTTTGAATGGAGAAATGGTTTACACATCTGGTAATTATTATTTTAATGTAATTCAATATAATCTTATAATCTAATATATATTATATTTTATATGTATATGTAGATAATCAAGAACGTAAATTGAAAGAATATTGTTTGACTTTACTTCGCAACTGTTTCGCATTTGATTTCATTGGCACAACTCCGGACGAGTCTGGTGAAGATGTTGGAAGTATCCAAGTAAGTTCAACTATGAATTTAACGTTATTAAAATTATTGTATTCGAAAGTTATATGTCAATAATGGGAATTAACATTATAGGTTACATCATCTTGGCGTTCAACAATCGAAGATCCGACTTTCCTCCAAACATTTTTCGAGGCTTATAAAAGGTTTCAACCGCCACATTCAAGTCAAGTATGTTTAATTATTAGGATACTCATAATTTCATTAAAAACCTTATAATGATATATATTTGCGTTCAAAGGTTATGGAAGTGCTCGTTCAAATTTCTTCAATTCGTCGTTCTCTTTTTAATGAAGAAGAGCGTTCCAAATTTCTTCATGCATTGATGCAAGGAATTAGCGAGATAATAATAGGTTCAATAGGATTATCTGATTTAAACAACTATCACGAGTTTTGTCGTCTTCTTTCAAGATTTAGATCTACGTATCAATGGAACGAGATCACTGAGAAATCCGGATTTAGCGATTGGATTGATTTTGTTGCCGACTTTACTATTAAAGGATTTAATAGTTGGCAGGTAAATTTATTAATTGTATTATTGTACTTTAGAAATCTAAGATAAATGATTTTTTTTTTTTTTTTTCAGTTTGTGCCAAATAGCATACAATATTTACTTGCATTTTGGTCCAAAATGTATTCATATGCTGGGAATGCTCGTCCAGGTTCTACAAATAAATTAGATATAATTTCAAGCAAAGTAATTTTATTTTTAATATTTGATAAATACATTATTCGAGTTTTATTATGAGTTTTTAATATTACTTATTAAATGTTAAATATAATATTTTAGCTAACTGCAGCATACATAAGTTCTAAAATTCAATCAGTGGAACAAATATTAGATGGTTCTATTGATGGTAGTGTTATTTAATTACGCTTTGCATTTGTTTGCTGATTATTCTAATGTATTTGTTAATTTTTTTTAGATCCTTTAGAGAATGAAGATGCTCTTGTGGATGATCTCGAGATGTTTTCAAATATTGCTCGGTACAAATATGATGAATCTCAGACAAGTATTGATAATATATTCCAACCAATCTTTAATCAATATAAAGTATGACCATATTCCGTATTAATATATATATATATATAGATGTTTTCTTTATTTGGTACTAGGATATTTCATAAATCTAACTTCATTTTTATTAATTAGGAATTATATACACAAGTGAACGCTGGAATTGTTAATAGTTCCTATACTCAATTTTTCGATACAATTGAAAGTAATTTATTTGGCTAACTTTATTTTTAAAACGTCAAAAGAAAAAAAATTATCCTTATATGTTACCGGAATTTACCTTAATAACGTTCTTCAATTTTTGATAGCAAAATTTGCTTGGCTTATGTATATGATTGGAGGAATGATCGGAGGTCGACAGGTATTAATTAATTTTTTTTTTTAAAAAAAAATTTTGTAATACAAGTAAAATGTATTCTTATGATTTGTTATAATTTTGTTAAAAAGACTTATATTAGTTCTGAAGAACAAGATTTGATTGATGGTGAACTTACATGCCAAATTCTCCAACTAATGAATATGAATGAGCAATGGAATGCACCGGTATTTGAAATAAATATTTTTATATTTTTAAAATTAAATCTAATATTTTTTCATATATATATATATATATAAAATAGCGTACCAGTGGTAGCGGTTATGAAAAATTTGAATTGGCTTTAGTTTATTTTTTCCAACAGTTTCGCAAGAGTTACATCGGTGAAAGTGCACAAAGGGTTTCAAAAGTTTATAGTAAATTATCTGATATAGGATATAATGATCAATCTATGGTTGGTTATTCATCATCATTTTAAGAAAAATTTTCATAACCGTTATTAATATTTAATTAATTTTTGCATCAAATAGCTATTGAATGCTATTATTCAAAGAATGTAAGTTTTCTGATCAATGCCTTAATTAAAAAAATTTCATATTTTAATATTTTTCTTATATAATTTTTGTTACTAGAGCAAAGAATCTTGAAGGATGGGGCCATAGTTCAAAAATAATTCAACGCAGTGTTTCTTTGTTTAATGACTTAGCCGGAGGGTAAGTTATTTTTTTGAGCTTCGAATAAATTTATTTATCAGTAATTTAACACAAAAAAAAAAAAATTTATCTTATATATATATATATATATTTTTTTTTTTTTGATAGATATAGTTCCGTTAGGATTCTTCGGAAACTTGATACTGTGCAATATATTCTGCGAAACCACACTATTAAAAATTTTCCTTTTCTTGATACTTCAAATAATTTACGATCTCGTATGGTCTATTATTCTGCTCTTTCAAGAATTTTATTTGCAGAAGATAATGTTGAGAGGGATTTTGAGGATTTTGTTAAACCTTGGGATATCACATTGACCGAACTCGGAACCTTTAACTCATTAAACGTTTTTAGACAGCCTGCTGTTAAAGTATTTTATTTTTTATGACTTTAAAGATGAGGTTTTTATTTTATTGAAATATATATATATATATATACACTTTTTTTTTATTGCAAAATTTAGGCAACTATCTCTGGTATCTTTCGTGATTTGAGAGGATTTCTTTCCGCAATTCAAAGCAAAAAGAATTTTTTGGTGTTTTTTGAATGGTTCTACCCACATTATGTACCAATCCTTTACCACTCATTGGAAGCTTGGGATAATGATCCATTAGCAATTACAATTTTAAAATTTTTCTTAGAATTTGTAAGTAATAGATCACAAAGATTGAACTTTGATATTTCCTCACCAAATGGTATTCTGTTATTCCGAGAAACCAGGTATTTATTAAATAAATTGCATGTTTATATCTTTATATTCTTATTAAATTTCTGGATAACTTAATTTACGCGATAAATAGTAAAGTAATTTCAACATACGGTAAAATTTTATTATATTTAATCAGTTTAATTATAACAAACTTTAAATTAAAATATTAAAAATATATATTTAGGTCGGCAAATTATCGGACGTCCTTTCAACAGTCAAGATAAATATGCTGAAAAGTAAGTGGATCCTCTTTAATATCTTTAAATTTATGAATATACTGATCGCAATCTTTACATAATCTAGATATAAAGGAATATCAATCTGTTTTAATATATTGACGAAATCTTTTGCAGGAAGATACGTCAATTTTGGAGTTTTTGAACTTTATGGAGATAAGGCTCTCGAAATAGTTCTTAATACTTCGTTTGAAATGATGCTTTGTGTTCCATTTGATGATATCCTCGTAAGAAATAAGATTTTGTATATTTAATTTGTAAAGGAAGTCTATTAATTTTCCTCGATTTATGTCATTAGATGTACCCAAAACTTTCTAAAACGTTCTATGAGTGGTTAGATACGTTTACTAATGGACATATGATGGCATTGCATAATATGGATTCAAATGCATTTCTTTACATTATGCGTGCTCTTGCAGAGGGAATTCAACAGTTTGATATCCTTTTTATGATGATTTCTTTTTTTAAATTTATTAAATATCAAATATTATTATTGCACATATTCATCCTTAGCTAGTTTTCCACATGGTTCACAATGTGCTGCTGCTTGTAGTGCGATTGACCATATTTGTACTTTTGTTATTCAGCAATCTGCTAAACAAAAGCCAAAACGACATTGGCTCCTCTCTTATTTAACCCAATATCCAAATATATTACCATATTTATTTACAGCTAACTTTAGTGCGGTACTGTTCGAAGAAAGTCAAAATCAATGGTCACTTTCACGTCCATTACTTTGTTTAATATTATTGAACCCGGACGTAAGATTTAAACAATATCTGCAATATTTACGCTTTTCTGTATCTTAATGATTTACTTTCAAAAAAAATTTTTTTTTTTTTTTTGACAAAAGTACTGGGAACAGTATACTCGTAATCTTGTGTTATACCAATTGCTTGAAAGAAGAGATGTCCTCGCTAAGGTAAGGTAGTGCAACATTAATTATAACATAATTAGTTTATTACATCTGATTTATTTTTAATTGTTTAGGCATTAACATCGCTAATGCAAGATGTTGAATTCAACCTGATATCCAAAAACCGAGATCGATTTACTCAAAATCTTAGTACATTTAAAAGAGAGTTGACTAATGATAATGTTATATTAGTAGCACCACCTATGGATATGAAGATGACTATGTGAACTTTCATGGTGTTAAGTTATCTTGAAACTTTGTATCATAACTTATTGAAATAGTATTATAATCTATTATTTAGGTGGTCAAAGTGTTATCATTTTAATAATTAAATAACCTTGCACTATTAATTTTGATTATTCATTTCCTTTTGTTATATTTCATCATTATCTTTATAATATCACATTTTTTTAAATATTCTCCTACTTTTTATTGAATATATTTTATTGACATGTTATTTTAATCGTAAATTGATAATCTAACCTATATATATTTTCATCATTTATTCATACATTCATTGTAATTGGTTCAACGACATACTTAGGTTCGTGTTTTATTAATTTCTGGATAAGAAAGAATATTTTTTTGTATACTTGCGATATATGATTTGGAATCATTTTATTTGTTTTCAAGTTGTAAATATTTTTCTTTAATCAATTAACATTAATATGTAATTAATAAATGATATTTCATTAATTTTAAATATTCTTTTGATAGTTATTAGATTCAATCGCTTCATATGCTGTAACTGTGTAATTATCTTTTAAAAAGATCTAATTCAAGAAATCCATCATCTTCAAATTTGGCAGTAGTTTATTTTCAGTTGCATTTATTAGTAACAAAATTTATAATTATAATAATATTCTTTTTTTATTTATTGAAATAAATGAATTGGTATTACTTTTATAAAAATTAAAAAAAAAACAACTAAGAATAAATACAAATTATTAATTTAATATTGATTGTAATTTATATTATTTTTATTATTTATATTAATTTATATAGCATATTTATATTTTAAAAATTAATTTAATACCAGTAGGTTATATCTAAAAATTTCATTTTAAATCTTGTTTATAAAGAATTTTTGAAAAACCAAATTGATAACTTTATAAATTATAATTATTAGATAGGAGGAAAGTTAATATTATTGAGATGTGAAATATCTCAAGTAATATAATACATTTTACTTAATAATTGTATTATAATTTAATAAATTTAGCTAAAAAAATTTGTATCTATGAAGATATAAAAAAGAAAAGAATTTAATCATTATTAATGAAAATCAATCAGTTTTTTAAAATATGATAATAAAATTATTAGTAAAGAAATTTGTAATATTATAAAAAAAATGTTATAAATCAATATATCATTTTAAAATCAACTATAAACAAAAAACATATACTAATTAGAAAAATTAATTAATTATGATTTTTATACAAATTTTTTAAATCTATTAACTACTAGTTTATATATATATAAAGAAAAAATCTTAATTCTAAATCACAAATAATATATGATTAGGATAGAGATAATTTTGAAAAATGGTTATATAAAATGTTATAGATCATTTACTATGTATAATCTATTATATCTTATAAGTCATTTAAATAAAAAGTAAGAATGAATAATAATAATAATCAAATATTTAGTGTAATATTTTATGTAGAAAATTATGAAACTATAGATCAGAATTTGTAATAGATTTTATTTATGAAATTGATATAATTAAAAAAGAATATTTTATTTATCTTAAATATAGTATTACTATTAAAATAATATTAAATTCTATATAATATTAGCAAATATAAATTATATATAATACAACTAAATTTTAATTTAGTATTCAATACACTAATACAATTACTTTACTATAAAATACTGAAAATAAATACACTTTTTTGCAATTACGTGATTACTAAAATTGGTAGAAATGCTTAATTTCAATTAGCATGTTTTTGTATATCCATCTATCATTATAGAAAAAAAATTTTTTAATTTTTTCTTTATATTTACTACTTATTTATAAATTTATTATAAAAAGAGTTTGGTTTTTTATATTAATCATACTATTAATGTTTTTTTTGTATCCATTGCCTATTTACTAAAAAAATTTTTTTTTACCTTCTATTTATCTATTTACCTTTTGTTTATTATAAAAATAATTGATTTTTTTTGTATCTATTACTCAACCTATTACAAAAAAAATTTTTTTTGTGTCTATTAAAAAATAAATTTTTACACTTGCTTGTTTGCAAGTTTTTTTTTAACTTTTAAAAAGATGGTGAAAAAAAAGAGTGAATACAAGAAAGAGAACATTATATTCAGTTGAAGAAAATTAACAGTAATTAAATATGTTTAAGAATATAAAAGAAATACTATAGAAAAACACTTTGATTTAGATGGTCTAATAATTGGAAAATGAGTTAAGAAAAGTGAAGAATTAAAAAAAAAGTAAAAAAAAAGCATTAGCTCAAAAAGAAAAGCTTTTTATTCTAAAACAAAAAATCTCTTATATATTTGGATTATAGAACAAAGAAAGAAAGATTTATCTGTTAATTATATTTCTGTTAGACTACAAATGTCTAAATTTCTCAAAGAACCTACCATTCAAGCATTATATTCAATAGGAGAATATGAATTTCAAGGAAGTTTTTCTTAGATTTAGTTCTTTTATAAAAAGATTTAACCTATCATTAAGAAAAAAACTAAAATTTCACAAAAATTACCTGAAGATTTAAAAACAAAATTAGAAGAATTTAGAAGATTTATTATAAGGTTGAAGATACAGTATAATTTTTGATTTAAATAATATTTTTAATATGAATGAAACTTCTGTTTAATTTGATATAACAGAAAATTTAATTGTCAATAATAAAGGAGATAAGACAATACATATTCATACTAATAGAAATGATAAAAATCATTTTACTGTAGTTTTAACTTATTTAACTGGTATAGAATTGTTAATCTTTATTTTATTTTATATTTAACTAAATTTAATAAATGCTTTTTATTATTGCAGATGATACAAAATATCCTTTTATCTATATTTTTAAAGGAAAAAAACTTCTTTATAATAAAGTTATTCAAAAAATGTTATTTGTTAATTTCAAGAAAATGGATGGATTATATCAGATTTAATGAAAAATTATATTGATTTTTATTTAAATTTTGTATGTCTGAAATTTATTAAAGAATTCTACTATAATAGTATATAATTTATTTTGAGATCACTTAGAAAAAAATGTAAAAGTTAAATTTAAACAGCATATTTTCATTTAGCTGTAATTCTAGTAAGATTAATTAGTATATATCAACTACTTGATATATCAATTAATAAGCTTTTTAAAGATAATTTACATAAAGAATGGTATAAATAGATGTATAATAGTAGTACTGATATAATAGCAGCAGGTAATTTAAAAAAGTAAAAATTAGTAATATATGTGGTTGGATTAAATATTTATAGGATGTTGTTTTAGATCAAATTATTTTTAATTTTTTAAAAAATATACTATTTTAAATATGTTAGATGGATTAGAAAATGATTTAGTTTATAAAGAAATTGATAAATTGATTGAAAAATATGAAAAGGAAAATTTAAATGAATTAGATGATAGTATTGAAAATTTTTATTGATTAAATAAAAGATTTAATGAATTTGATATAAATTCATTAATAAATCATTATTAGTTTATTTATTTCTATATTAAAATTTTATAACTGATATAAAATCCATATTGTTGTATATTAAAACCTTGATTATAACACATGATGACAAAAACTGATGTCAAATTTTAGAATTTTAACACATAATAATAAATTTTACGTTACCTGATATTAAAATTAACGCATAATGACAAAAAATTTATAGGATTTTACATTACTAATTTCAAAATTTAAAATTTTAACGCATAATGACATCAAATTTCATGGATTTTTCATCATTGTATTGAATCCAACTAACCAATCAGCTATAAAAGGGTGTTTATATTCAAAGGTGCTTATTTTTAGTTTTTATTTACACTATGACGAAAGTTTAAAAAGTGCTTATTTTGAATAAATGCTAATTTTTAGTGTTTTACAGTAATAGTAAATAAATAATAATAAAAAATAGAATTTTTAATTCTTATTTATTTATATATAAAATTTTTAATTATCTTAAATAAAAAATATTATATTATAATATTTATAAAAAATATAAAAAATATTTAAACAATTAGAATATTTATATATTTATAGTACTTTTAGCATTTCTAATCTATATTATTCTAATATTAATATAATATCACAATATATTAATAAATATTTCATTCTAAATTAAAATTTTAAATCTTATAATAAAAAGATTTAACAGATTATATATTATAAAAATTTATTAAAAAAAATTTTATTTTGTTTATATTTTATAAATTTTAAGATAATATATATTTTGTATATGAAGTTACAAAATCAAAGAATAATAAATATAAATGTATTAAAATTGAATTAAAAAAATATTATTTATTTCTTCAAAATTTGAAGAAAATATATATAAAATAACTATATAAAAATTGAAAAATATAATTCAAAAATTATTTAATTTAATATAAGAAAAGTTTATAATAAATAAAACAAAAATGATCAAATTAATAATATATATTAAAAGAATACTTTTTGAAATTAAAAACATATTAATATGATAATTAATTAATACTATGAAAATTTCTTCTTATTTATTAAATAATTAGATTAATAATATATTTATAAAAAGATTTTTTTATTTTCTTAAATAACAAATTAATAATCATATAAAATTAAATTATTTAGCAATTTAAAATAATTATATCTTATAAATTATTAATTAAATAAGTATGTGTTAAGTATATTAAAAATAATATTTTATTATATAAAATATAATAATATAATACTATTTTAAAATAAATCAGTAATAAAATAAAAAAATTATTTATTTATAATAAAAATATATAAATATTATTTTATTTATTTTAATAGAAAATTTAAGATTAAATCATCAAAATTATATTTAATAAAGTATAACATTTAGAAAATTATTTTATAAATTAATTTAAATTTTATTTGTAATTTTATTTTTTTTATTTATATTATAATTATAATATAAAATAGAATCAATTAATATACAAAAATTTATATTAATTTTAAAAAACTAATGTTTTTTCAAATTCTTTTTAAATTAATAATAATAAATTTTTTTATTTATTTA